CTACCTTAGCCTAGACCTTTTCGTCCATATCACTATCAGCATTTTGGGCAAAGCCATCCAAGAAGTCTCCAGGAAGTTCTAAACATTCCCACATTTTCCTGTCTTCTTCTGAGCCCTCCAAAATGTTTCAACCTCTGGAGTTCCAAAGTTGAGTCCACATTTTTGGGTATCTTTTCAGCAATACCCCACTCTACTGGTAACAATTTATTGTATTAGTCTGTTTTCACACTGCTGATAAAGACATACCTGAGACTGGGAAGAAAAAGAGGTTTAAGTGGACTTAACAGTTTCACATGGCTGGGGCAATCTCAAAATCATGGCAGGAGGTGAAAGGCACTTCTTACATGGCGGCAGCAAGAGAAAATGAGAAAGAAGCAAAAGCAAAACCTCTGATAAACCCATCAGATCTTGTGAGACTTACTATCACAAGAATAGCATCGAAGTGGGGAGATCCCATAAGTGCCGAGGCAGAAGCCAAAGGCCTCAGCCTATTTGGATATAAATAATGAAGAAGAAAGTAACTAGAGCTATAACCTTAGTAGTTATTAGTTATTCATAGGTAATCTTTTTTTTTTTTTTTTTTTGAGACAGAGTTTCACTCATTACCCAGGCTGGAGTGCAATGGCGCGATCTTGGCTCACCGCAACCTCTGCCTTCTGGGTTCAGGCAATTCTCCTGCCTCAGCCTCCTAAGTAGCTGGGATTGCAGGCATGCGCCGCCATGCCCAGCTAATTTTTTGTATTTTTAGTAGAGACAGGGTTTTCACCACGTTGACCAGGATGGTCTCGATATCTTGACCGTGTGATCCACCCGCTTCGGCTTCCCAAAGTGCTGGGATTACAGGCTTGAGCCACTGCGCCCGGCCTCATAGGTAATCTTAATTCTTTTACTAATGCCTCCCAGGTCAGAAGTGTGAACCTGGGGCGACATTGTGAAATGAATGACTCTAAGACAAGACACTTTAAGCCCTCTGTCATGCCTGGAGGGTGCCTTAGCTGAGTGGCAGTGCCAGTGCCAGGAAAGTGCCTGCAGTTTAGTCAGCTAGGGAAGGAGATGTCAAAAATAGCTCTTGTGGTGGGCCTGATGTTGTCAGGTAGGCCCGCAGACATTCGGGGGCTTAACTGTCTCTGTGTGATGATGTGCTTCAGTGGTCACGTTCCATGTCCACTCTCATGTTCCACTTCTGGTTCCTTTTTTCTTAGAAGAGATAATCAGTAAAAGTAATATAAATCTTACGATCTTTATTCTTATTTTATTTTGGTTTTTTTGAGATCGAGTTTCACTCTTGTTACCCAGGCTGGAGTGCAATGGCGCCATCTCGGCTCACCGCAACCTCTGCCTCCTGGGTTCAGGCAATTCTCCTGCCTCAGCCTCCTGAGTAGCTGGGATTACAGGCACGCACCACCATGCCCAGCTGATTTTTCGTATTTTTAGTAGAGACAGGGTTTCACCATGTTGACCAGGATGGTCTCGATCTCTCGACCTCGTGATCCACCCGCCTCGGCCTCCCAAAGTGCTAGGATTACAGGCTTGAGCCACTGCGCCCGGCCCTTTTTTTTTTTTTTTTTGAGACGGAGTTTCACTCTTGTTACCCAGGCTGGAGTGCAATGGCGCGATCTCGGCTCACCACAACCTCCGCCTCCTGGGTTCAGGCAATTCTCCTGCCTCAGCCTCCTGAGTAGCTGGGATTACAGGCACGTGCCACCATGCCCAGATAATTTTTTGTATTTTTAGTAGAGACGGGGTTTCACCATGTTGACCAGGTTGGTCTTGATCTCTTGACCTCGTGATCCACCCGCCTCAGCCTCCCAAAGTGCTGGGATTACAGGCTTGAGCCACCGCGCCCGGCGTTTTTTTTTTTTTTTTTTTTAAAGACAGTCTTGTTCTATTGCCCATGCTGGAGTGCAGTGGCACAATCTTGGCTCACTGCAACCCCCGCATCCCAGGTTCAAGCAATTCCTCTGCCTCAGCCTCCTCAGCAGCTGGGATTACAGGTGAGTGCCACCACGCCTGGCTAATTTTTTTGTATTTTAGTAGATATAGGGTTTCACCATGTTGGCCAGGATAGTCTCGATCTCCTGACCTTGTGATCCACCTGCCTCGGCCTCACAAAGTGTTGGGATTACAGGCATGAGCCACTGCCCCTGGCCTATTTTTTCTTAACAAGTATGGAAAAGTGCTGATGCATTGTGCTCCTTACCTCATCTTGGCTACCTGAAAGTCTTGAGCCCCTACCTGTAAGACATGTGATGTACTTGACCCGATCACTGCCACGCCCTATTCACCTTGCCCCCAGTCGTAGACCACCAAGGCCATGCCCTACCTGTGCCCTCCCTACCCTGTCCACAGATTTGCAACTCAATAAAAGTGAGAGCATCCAGGTATTCAGGGCTACTGCCAGACTCTGCCCTTTGGTTGGCAGTGGACCACAGGGCCCAAACTCTCTTTTCTCTATCTCTGTGTGTTGTGTCTTTTATTTCTACAATTTCTCACCTTCGCACCAGCAGGGAGGGGTTCACAGAACCCTGGAGGGCTGGACCCTACATAGCACGAGAAAGACAGGCCCGCCGTGCGCGGTGGCTCAAGCCTGTAATCCCAGCACTTTGGGAAGCCGAGGCGGGTGGATCACGAGGTCAAGAGATCGAGACCATCCTGGTCAACATGGTGAAACCCCGTCTCTACTAAAAATACAAAAATTAGCTGGGCATGGTGGAGTGTGCCTGTAATCCCAGCTACTCAGGAGGCTGAGGCAGGAGAATTGTCTGAACCCAGGAGGCGGAGGTTGCGGTGAGCCGAGATCGCACCATTGCACTCCAGCCTGGGTAACAAGAGCGAAACTCCGTCTCAAAAAAAAACAAAGAAAGAAAGAAAGACAGGCCCTCATGATTCAATTACTTCCCTCTGGGTCCCTCCCACAACATGTGGGAATTCTGGGAGATACAATTCAAGTTGAGATTTGGGTGAGGACACAGTCAAACCATATTATGAACTAAGAGAGAAAGAACCATGTTCTAATGAATCATTTCAGGAGGCTGAGGCAGAAAGATTGTGTGAGCCCAGGAGACTGAGGCTGCAGTGAGCTATGATTTTGCCACTATACCCCACAGCCTGGGTGAAGAGTGAGATCCCATCTCAAAAAAACAAATTAGAAAAAGATACACTGGCCGGGCGCGGTGGCTCACGCCTGTAATCCCAGCACTTTGGGAGGCCGAGGTGGGTGGATCACGAGGTCAAGAGATCGAGACCATCCTGGTCAACGTGAAACCCCGTCTCTACTACAAATACAAAAAATTAGCTGGGCATGGTGGCACGTGCCTGTAATCCCAGCTACTCAGGAGGCTGAGGCAGGAGAATTGCCTGAACCCAGGAGGCGGAGGTTGCGGTGAGCCGAGATCGCGCCATTGCACTCCAGCCTGGGTAACAAGAGCGGAACTCCTTCTCAAAAAAAAAAAAAAAAAAGAAAGAAAAAGATACACTGCAGAGCATAAATGTTATGGGCTACTTTTGACAGAGGAATCAAATCTTCCTGGCCAAATTTAGACTTGTGTAGGTTAGGGGAAATGGACTAACATAGTGACCACTGAATGGTAACTCACAAGGGTAGCAGTTAAAGTTGATAAAATTTTAAATGCATACAAAACCGACATATAAATCAACTTTTCCTCACAAAACCAACAACTGAGAATACTCTTTAAGTTTCATAATATTAGGCGAGGGTCTGTGGCTCATACCTGTAATCCCAGCTCTTTAGGAGACTATAGGGAACAACCTGAGACCAGGAGTTCGAGATAATCCTGGAAAACATTGCAAGACTCTGTCCTTAAGAAAAGAACCTCAAAAGCAATGTTGTATGAAAGGGAGTTATAGATGGATATATACAGGAAAATAGTCTAAATAGTAGAATACTATCTAAAGAGTAGAACAGTATTACCAAAGTTTAGAAACACATCAATAATACTGTAATTGTTTACGGACACACACATATGAAGTAAGGTAAAAGGAAGGGTGCAAATCCACTTTACAATAGCAGTTATCTATGAAGACGATTTCAAAAAGGGCAACAAATATATCTATAAATGTTTTGAGCCAGTTGCAGTGGCTCATGCCTGTTACCTGAGCACTTTGGGAGGCTAAGTTGGGAGGATGACTTAAGCCCAGGAGTTCGAGACCAGACTGGGCAACATAGTGAGACTATGCCTCCACAAAATATAAAAAAATTAGCAGGTGTAGTGGTTAGTGCCTATGGTCCCAGCTACTCGGGAAGGTGACACAAGAAGACAGCTTGAGCTTGGGAGGTCGAGGATGCATTCGAACCACTGCACTTGAGCTTGAGCAGCAGAGCGAGACCCTGTCTCAAAAACAATACAAAACAAAAATTTGGCAGGGTGCGGTGCCTCACGCCTGTAATCCCAGCACTTTGGGAGGCCAAGGCGGGCAGGTCACAAGGTCAGGAGTTCGAGAACAGCTTGGCCAATACGGTGAAACCCCGTCTCTACAAAAAATACAAAAATTAGCCTGGCGGTGGAGGCGCAGGCCTGTAGTCCCAGCTACTCGGGAGTCTGAGGCAGGAGAATTGCTTGAACCCAGGAGGCGGAGGTTGCGGTGAGCCAAGATCGTGCCACTGCACTCCAGCCTGGGCGATGGAGTGAGACTCCATCTCAGAAAAAACAACAACAAAAAAACCCCCCAAAACCCCACTTGATAACATGGTAATAAATTAGCATTTACCGAATGATAAATATGTGCCAGACTGTTCTAAGCCCTTTCCCTGCACGATCTCAGTGAAGTCCCACAATATTATCCCCATTGCAGGGATGCAGAAATTGAGGCCCTGAGGTCGAAGAGGAGGAGGTAAGAGATGATGCCGGGATGGGCCCCGGACCGTCTGACTCTAAATCCCCAACCCAGGCCCCGGCACACTGTCCTAGGGTGGGAGAGGTGGTCTTCGGGGTCCAGGCACCGCAACCGCGGCCCAGACCCGACCAGCCAGCCCCGCGTACCGTGTAGAGCGTCAGGTCGACATGTCGCCACAGCCACCGGTCGTCCACCAGCCTCTTCCAGCGGTGACAGACCCTGCGGGAGGGGACCCATGATTAGAACGACCCCGGCCCCGGGCCACATCCACATCTCCAGGTGCCAGGTCCACCCTCCGCCCGGCCCTTCCCCCCCGCACCTGGAGATGCGGATCCGGTCCCGTACCGGGAGGTAAGAGAAGATTTCGAGGAGGACCGAGTCCGGCAGTTCGACCAAAGTCGCCATGATCCCGCCAACGCGCACTTCCGCTTCCGGTTAAGGAGACCCGAGGGGTCCTCCTGGGGGCCCCGAGGTGAGGTTGAAAAGGCGGCGGCCGCGACCTCCCCGTAACCCGCTGAGAAATTTGACTTTCCTCTCGCTGGGAAGCGATTGCGTCCCAGGGCAGGACCAGCCGTATCCGCGAATGCGGACCGGCTCCAGCTGCGAACCGAGACCAGAACCCAGCCTGGAAAGCGTGGCTGAGGCAGCGAGAGGCCTGGAGGACGTGGCCGAGGCGTGATTTGGCCCCGACTAGGAACTAAGACCAAGTCTGGAAGGCGGGCCTGGAGTGAGGCAAAGCTCGGGGGCGGAGCCGGAGACTAGGACCAAGTTCGGAAGGCGTAGCTGGGGTGGTGGAAGGATGGAGGCTGGGTTTGAGACGCGAACCAAGCCCAGAAGGCGTGGCTGGGGCGGGCGAGGCCCAGGGGCGGGGCTAGAGATGAGAACCAAGCCTGAGAGGCGGGGCTGGAGTGGGGCGAGGCCCGAGGGCGGGGCTAGAGAAAACGACCGCGTCCGGAAGGCGGGGCTGGAGGGGGCAAGGCCCCATTTTCCTCTTTCAGCAGCACTCCTCATCCCTTTCCTAACTCCTCACCCCACAGCTCAGCACCAAGACCCTGTGCTTGGGCGATCTTTCAATCAAGCACTGAGACATCAGAGCTTTTTTTTTTTTTTTTTTTTTTTTAAAAAGAACATTTCCTTTTCCACCCCCGCTGATTACAAAAGTAACATATGTTCAATGTCGGAAATCTGGAAAAACACCGCAAAGAGGGAAAATAAGGCCGGATGTGGTGGCTCATGCCTGTAATTCCAGCACTTTGGAGGGATCACTTGAGGCCTGGAGTTTGAGACCAGCCTGGGCGACATAGTGAGGCCGTGTCTCTCCTAAAAGTAAAAAAATCAGCCATGCGTGGTGGTGCGTCCCTGAAGTCCTAGCTACGTGGAAGACTAAGGCAGGAAGATCTCTCGAGTCCAGAAGTTGAGGCTGCAGTGAGCTATGATCATGCCACTGCACTCCAGCCTGTGACAGAGTAAGACACTGACTCGAATGAGACTCTCAGTAATCCTGCCAGGCAGTGGTAAGTATAGTAAATGCTTGTGTGACCCAGTATTTCTTTGTTTTTAAACGAAGTCTCACTCTGTTACCCAGGCTGGAGTGCAGTGGTGCGATCTCAGTTCACTGCAACCTCTGCCTCCCAGGTTCAGGCAATTGTCCTGCCTCAGCCTCCCAAATAGCTGGGATTACAGACACCTACCACCATGCCGAGCTGATTTTTGTATTTTTAGTAGAGATGGGCTTTGACCAATTGGCCAGGCTGGTCTCGAACTCTTGATCTCAAGTGATCCGCCTGACATGGTCTCCCAAAGTGCTGGGATTACAAGTGTGAGTCACTGTGCTGTGACCCGGTATTTCTAACAGAATGCAAAGATGTGATGCTTCTAAACTTCCTCAGGCACATCAGCCCCCTCAGCTCACTTTTGACCTTCCAATCTGTTTCATCCTGGCTACAGCTCCCCAAAAGCAGAGGCAGGGGGGGTTCCCACAAAGGAACTCAAATCATCCCAAGATGGGGGGGGCGGGGGGGCAGTGAGAATTTCAAGGAAACACTAATTACCAGAACAATCAGTCCAAAGCCTTTATTAGGGAAACTTACAGAGTGTTCCAACAATCATCCAGACAGACAGGAAAGAAAAGGAGTACTCTACCGAGCTTACAGCTGCAGCTAGGGGGTCAGGACATGGGAGTTTAGATGCATAGGTCAGCATGTCTAGTTTCCATTACTATTTTGAGTAGTGGACCACCTGCTTGTCTGGTGAGTGTCAGCTTGACCAAAACAGGAACGTGGAATCTTTCCCTGGGATGGGAGGTTCCACAACCTTGGTTCTATATTTAGATCTTCTTTTTTTGTTGCTGTTAGTTCTTTTTTTTTTTTTTTTGGAGATGGAGTCTTGCTCTGTCCCCCAGGCTGGAGTGCAGTGGCGTAATCTGGGCTCACTGCAACCTCTGCCTCCTGGGTTCAAGCAATTCTCCTGCCTCAGCCTCCCAAGTAGTTGGGACTACAAGCACACACCACCACACCCAGCTAATTTTTTGTATTTTAGTAGAGATGAGGTTTCACCGTGTTGTCCAGGCTGGTCTCAAACTCCTCAGCTCAGGTAATCATCCTGCCTCAGCCTCCCAAAGTGCTAGAATTACAGGTGTGAGCCACCATGCCCAGCCTATATTTAGATTTTCAAGGCCAGTTTCTGGAATTCTTAAGCAAAGTACACAGGTTAAGCATTATGAGAGCTTAGCATAAAAAAACAGAAGAGAGGTTGGGCGCAGTGGCTCATGCCTGTAACCCTGGCACTTTGGGAGGCTGAGGCAGGAGGATTACCTGAGCTCAGGAGTTTGAGACCAGCCTGAGCAACACAGTAAAACCGTGTCTCTAACTAAAATACAAAAAATATTTTGGGAGGTCGAGGCTGGCAGATCACCTGAGGTTGGGACTTTAAGACCAGCCTGACCAACATGGAGAAATCTCATCTCTACCAAAAATACAAAATTAGCTGGACATGGTGGCACATACTTGTAATCCCAGCTACTGGGATGGCTGAGGCATGTGAATTGCTTGAACCCAGGAGGCAGAGGTTGCTGTAAGCCGAGATCGCGCCATTGCACTCCAGCCTGGGCAACAAGAGCAAAACTCCATCCAAAAAAAAGAAAGAAAAAGAAAGAAAAGAAAAGAAAAACAGAAGAGAGTGACTGTTTCTCAACATGGACTAACATTTTCAATTACAGATTTCCTCACTGTCAATTTTTCATTCCATTTCTAGGGAAAATGGGGCGCTGACTCCAGTCTGCATACTTCCTGCGCGATGGAGGCATTAACTGGGAATTGTGGAATGAAAAAGACTGACATGATGGAAGTGTATAATGTTTAGGTCCCTTTTCTACCGGGAGGCAGAATTAAGGGCACTTGTTACAAATTGTTTAGCTTAACCCCAAGGTAGATTCCAAGAATAACTAGTAATACAGGTAGCCCTAACTTTAATAAGTAGAGAGATTTAATTCCAGAAGTTATCCAGAATAGGCTAAAAACCCAGTTCTCTACCTCCTGGAGCAGAGGGGTATGATGATCTAGGGTTTTGTTTTTTTGAGGACAGAGTCACACTCTGTCACCCAGGTTGGAGTGCAGGGGTGGGATCTCAGCTCACTGTAACCTCCACCTCCCGGGTTCAAGAGATTCTCACACCTCAGCTTCCCAAGTAGCTGGACTTATGGGTGCATGCCACTATGTGTGGCTTTTAAAATTAATTAATTAATTAATTATTTTATTTTTACTAGAGACAGGGTTTCACCATGTTGGCCAGGCTGGTCTTGAACTCCTGACCTCAGGTGATCTACCTGCCTCAGCCTCCCAGAGTGCTAGGATTACAGGCATGAGCCACTGCGACTGGCCGGAGGGTTTGGGGAAGGATTGGGTGGGAATTCTTTTTTTTTTTTTTTTTTTTTTTGAGACGGAGTTTCGCTCTTGTTACCCAGGCTGGAATGCAATGGCACGATCTCAGCTCACCGCAACCTCCGCCTCCTGGGTTCAGGCAATTCTCCTGCCTCAGCCTCCTGAGTAGCTGGGATTACAGGCACGCGCCACCATGCCCAGCTAATTTTTTGTATTTTTAGTAGAGACAGGGTTTCACCATGTTGACCAGGATGGTCTCGATCTCTTGACCTCGTGATCCACCCGCCTCGGCCTCCCAAAGTGCTGGGATTACAGCCATGAGCCACCGCGCCCGGCCAGAGAATTCTTAAACCATTGTAGCAGTATACTTCAACAATACTAAAAGGTTTTCGTTTCTGGATCCTGCCATTCAAAAGCAAATAATAAGCAAGGGTGGCTCATGCCTGTAATCCCAGCACATTGGGAGGTTGAGTCAGGAGAATCACTTGAGGTCAGGAGTTTGAGACCAGCCTGGACAACATGGTAAAACCCCATCTCTACTAAAAATACAAAAATTACCTAGGTGTGGTGGCATGTGCCTGTAATTCCAGCTACTTAGGAGGCTGAGGCAGGAGAACCCCTTGAACCCGGGAGGTGGAGGTTGCAGTGAACTGATATCACGCCACTGCACTCCATTCTGGGCAACAGAGCGAGACTCTGTGTCAAAAAAAATATTTTTGGCTGGTGCAGTGGCTCACTCCTGTAATCCCAGCACTTTGGGAGGCTCAGACGGGTACAACATCTGAGGTCAGGAGTTGGAGATCCGCCTGGCCAACATCGTGAAACCTCATCTCTACTAAAAAAATATAAAAATTAAGCTCGGGGTGGTGGCTCATGCCTGTAATCCCAGCACTTTGGGAGGCCAAAGAGGGCGGCTCACAAGGTCAGGAGTTTGAAACCAGCCTGGCCAATATGGTGAAACCCCATTTCTACTAAAAATACAAAAATTAGCTGGGTGTCGTAACGCATGCCTGTAATTCCAGCTACTCAGAGAGGCTGAGACAAAAGAAACGCTTGAACCCAGAAAGCAGAGATTTCAGTGAGACGAGAACCTGCCAATGTACTCCAGCCTGGGTGACAGAGCAAAACTCTGTCAAAACACACACACACACAACACACACACACACACACACACACACACACACACACACAAATTAGTCGGGCATGGTAGCGAGCACCTGTAATCCCAGCCACTCGGGAGGTTGAGGCAGGAAAATCTCTTGAACCCAGGAGGCAGAGGTTGCCATGAGCTGAGATAGCACCGCTGCACTTGAGCCTGGGTGACATAGTGAGACTCTGTCTCAAAAAAAAAATTTTTTTTTAAAGGCCAGATATCGCCACAATATGGTTACTTTATGTTATGGAAAGTGCGGATTTACTGAGTGCCAACTGAATACTGAATGGACTATTCTTCATGTGGATTCAGTAATGTGACTATACTCTCCCTCTTTCCCCTCCAGCCCTCTTTTCTCCTTTAAATACTGAAGCCCTCAAAATCATATTTGGAAAAAAGCATGGATCAAAGATTGTTCCTGGGGTTTTGTGTTCCTTTTCTTCCAGGCATGTCCTTAACCCTGTTTACATAAACCTCTCAATTTACTGAGACCTGTTTCAGATACTTTTTGGCTTATGAACTGTTTGACTGAATTGAGGGAGGAGTGACCTTGTCCCACCGGCCCTCACGAACCCAGAATCTGGTACAAAGTGCTCCCTGAAGATATAGATGCAGGAGATTGTATAATTGTGCAAAGTTTCCAGCTTCCTCGCGGGTATATAGGTTGGTGACTGGTAGTCAGGCACGAGAATAGGGAAAATAAGGAAGAATAGCAAAGGGAATTAAAAGCTGGATAAAGGGCAAAATAAGTAGGGAGCAGAAGCAAGGTGAAGGGGCGGGTGAGCAAGAAGGAAGATAAAAGGCAGAAGCCGAGCAGCCAAAACAAAAGGAAAATAAAAAACTGAGCAAGGATCCCATGGTCGGCAAAATCCAGACCAAAGCAGTAAGGGGCAGCTCTTCAGGGATAGGTAAGTGCATTAAAGACAAAAAGTACGCTTAACATAAGGATGATAATCAGCTCATTAGCGCTCATGCATATGGAGGGTATATCACGCAAGAACTTAAAATTAACGCATGGAGGCGGCCCTCAAGCGCACAGAGGCCAAAGTAACTAAGCAACACACCTATCAATCAAAAAGGTAGACACTGGCTAGAGATTAGGCAGCCTTGGGAAGAGAAGGAAAAAAACAAAACAAAAAAAAAACCATAAAAAGAACCAAACTACACCAAGCTGGGGGTGATCTCATCTCGCAGAGGTCAGTCTGCTCTCCCACTTAGACTGGTATACTGTGCTTACTAAGGTTGCTGCTTTGCCACCTCTCTGTGTTTCGTGCAAATCTTGCTCGGGACACCAAGAGCCTGGAACTGTGAGGCACCATGAAGTAACAGCAGCCGTTGGGCAGCGTGGAGTCTAGTCCAGGATCAGGCTTCGCCTACTGACTGGAGTCCACATCCCCGGAGGACGCGATGGCCAGAGGGCAGAGGTGAGCAAAATGCTCAGGAGGCCCAGCCCTGAATGAGCCCAAGCGGTCAGAAGGGATAACTGCAGGACTCGCATCTCCCACCCTCCGCCCTCGCTCCTCGAAGCTGCAGCAAGAGGCTTCGGGCTCAGGATCAGGAGGAGCTCACCCCGAACCCCTGGACCCTCTGGCGTCCTCACCATGCGACCGAATCTCCCCGCAATGAACAATGGCTTCAAACGAGCTGGAAGCCGGCACCGACCTCTGGCTCTCGCTCCACACCCCTTCCCCGTCCCCACATCCGCCCAAGCCCCTGGTTCTACCCCGTGCGCCTACCACAGGCGTCCCCCTGCCAAGGCGTGCTTGGGACGCCGAAACCGTACCTAGGCACCGAAAGCGCACTACCTACGACAAACACGGAAGAACTCGACCCAGTGTTGACCACACCCCCTGGCCAGGGGTGGGGCTTCCGACTCCGCACTTTTACTTCCGCTTCCGGTTCCCAGCGTTAACTGCGGCCGGGATTCAGCGCTCAGACGGAGAGTTAGTGGCGTCGGCAGCTTCGAGGCGATTCGAGGTGAGGGGGTCAAGCGGAGAGGCCCGGAGTCGGGGAAAGCTGTCGCGACCCCGCTACCCAGGGTCTGGGGTCAGTGGCAGGTGAGGCCATGAAGTTTTGTGGCCGGGCCTTCTGGCGGCGAGAAGGAGCGGAGACGCGGCTGCCTGGGGTTCGCGGTCTTGGGACGCGGGATTTGGGGCCTGGGAGTATTCGAGTCCGGGGGATTGGGGGCAGAATGGAAGGCTCAGTAATAGGGATTTTTAGGGCCTGGGATTGGGAGACTTGTAAGCTGGTGCTTCTTGGCCTGACAGATCCCTGAAACTCTGACTCTGCTGCCTCCCACCCCCGCGCTCCTGTGTAGCTCCAGCTAGGATGATCGAGGTTGTTTGCAACGACCGTCTGGGGAAGAAGGTCCGCGTTAAATGCAAGTATCCACTGGCAGGCGAGAGGCAGTGGTTTCCGCAGGGGTGCTTGACGTGAGGCGGGCAACTCAATCTGTGTTGTCAGAGGGTTTTAGTTAAACCCGGGAGAGGCCGGGCGCGGTGGTTGACCCTGTAATCCCAGCACTTCGGTAGGCCGAGGCGGGCTGATCACGGGGTTAAGAGATTGAGACCAGCCTGGCCAATATGGTGAAATCCCGTCTCTACTAAAAATACAAAAATTAGCTGGGCGTGTTGGCAAACGCCTGTAGTCCCAGCTACTTGGGAGGCTGAGACGAAAATCACTTGAACCCGGGAGGCGGAGTTTGCAGTGAGCCGAGATCGTGCCACTGCATTCCAACCTGGCGACAGGGGGAGACTCCGTCTCAAAAACAAAAACAAAAACAAAAACAAAAAACAGGCCGGGCGCGGTGGCTCAAGCCTGTAATCCCAGCACTTTGGGAGGCCGAGGCGGGTGGATCACGAGGTCAAGAGATCGAGACCATCCTGGTCAACATGGTGAAACCCCGTCTCTACTAAAAAAATACAAAAAATTAGCTGGGCATGGTGGCGCGTGCCTGTAATCCCAGCTACTCAGGAGGCTGAGGCAAGAATATTGCCTGAACCCGGGAGGTGGAGGTTGCGGTGAGCCGAGATCGCGCCACTGCACTCCAGCCTGGGTAACAAGAGCGAAACTCCGTCTCAAAAAAAAAAAAAAAAAAAAAGGGGAGAAGTGGGGGATGGGGTTGTGGCAGATAGTATTAAGCCCCAGAATGTCCCCTTCCTTGTTCTACCGCTCCCATTTGCCTTAACTCCTCTGCGCCCAGCACGGATGATACCATCGGGGACCTTAAGAAGCTGATTGCAGCCCAAACTGGCACCCGTTGGAACAAGATTGTCCTGAAGAAGTGGTGAGTGCAGTGGTAGAGCCATGGGGTGGACCGGTCGAGGCCTGAAGGTTTTGGTTGTGGGAGCGCTGCAGGCAGCTCTTTACTTAAACTCGCTACCCTCAATCTGCCTCCAGGCTGAAGAGCCTCTTTAGCCTTATCCCTTAAAGGTTTCTTTTCCTTAGGTACACGATTTTTAAGGACCACGTGTCTCTGGGGGACTGTATCCTTTGTGTGACTTTTTGAGGCAGCATCTACATACCCAGCCTCGGTTATCTTTGTTCAAAACTAAACTCTGCATGACATTATGCATATTAAGTGTTTAACTTAATATGTGGCACTTGGTGAGCCCTTAGAAAATGGGATCTAGGTAATTATTTGGTTGGGGAGGAGGGTGGTTGACTGGTGAAATATTTTGGCTTCAATATCAAAATACTTATTTTTGAGTTCTGCCTGAGTGCTGGACAGTAGGTCAAGGTGGAGTGAGACTCAGGCATATCTATTGTGCAGAAGGTACAGAACCTTATTTTATTTATTTAGTGTTTTGAGACAGTCTCGCTCTGTTGCCCAGGCTGGAGTGCAGTGGTGAGATCTTGGCTCACTGCAACCTCTGCCTTCTGGGTTCAAGCAATTCTGCCTCATCCTCCCAAGAAGCTGGGATTACAGACATGTGCCACCACTCCCTGCTAGTTTTTGTATTTTTAGTAGAGATGGGGTTCCACCATGTTTGGCCTCAAGTGATCCTCCTGCTATGTCCTCCCAAAGTGCTGGGATTGTAGGTATGAGCTATTGGGCCTGGCTTAGAAGGAACGGAAACTTTTTTTTTTTTTTTTGAGAGAGAGTTTTGCTCTTGTTGCCCAGGCTGGAGTGCAGTGGCGCAATCTTGGCTCACTGCAGCCTCTACTTCTTGGGTTCAAGCAATTCTCTTGTCTCAGCCTCCCGAGTAGCTGGTATTACAGGCGCCTGCCACCACGCCCAGCTAATTTTTTGTATTTTTAGTAGAGATGGGGTTTCACCGTGTTGTCCAGACTGGTCTCAAACTCCTGATGTCAAGTGATCCATGCCTTGGCATCCCAAAGTGCTAGAATTACAGGTGTGAGCCACAGTGCCCAGCCAGAATTTTTTTTTTTTTTTTTTTTTTTTTTTTTTGAGACGGAGTTTCGCTCTTGTTACCCAGGCTGGAGTGCAATGGCGCAATCTCGGCTCACTGCAACCTCCGCCTCCCGGGTTCAGGCAATTCTCCTGCCTCAGCCTCCTGAGTAGCTGGGATTACAGGCACATGCCACCATACCCAGCTGATTTTTTGTATTTTTTTTTTTTTTTTTTTTTTTGAGACGGAGTTTCGCTCTTGTTACCCAGGCTGGAGTGCAATGGCGCGATCTCAGCTCACCGCAACCTCCGCCTCCTGGGTTCAGGCAATTCTCCTGCCTCAGCCTCCTGAGTAGCTGGGATTACAGGCACGCGCCACCATGCCCAGCTACTTTTTTGTATTTTTAGTAGAGACGGGATTTCACCATGTTGACCAGGATGGTCTCGATCTCTTGACCTTGTGATCCACCCGCCTCAGCCTCCCAAAGTGCTGGGATTACAGGCTGAGCCACTGCGCCCGGCCTGATTTTTTGTATTTTTAGTAGAGACGGGGTTTCACCACGTTGACCAGGATGGTCTCGATCTCTTGACCTTGTGATCCCCCCGCCTCGGCCTCCCAAAGTGCTGGGATTACAGGTTTGAGCCACCGCACCTGGCCAGAATTTTTTTTTTTTTAATAGAAAAAATTTATTTATTTATTTATTTATTTATTTATTTTTTGAGATGGAGTTTTGCTCTTGTTACCCAGGCTGGAGTGCAATGGCGCGATCTCGGCTCACTGCAACCTCCGCCTCCTGGGTTCAGGCAATTCTCCTGCCTCAGCCTCCTGAGTAGCTGGGATTACAGGCACGCGCCACCACGCCCAGCTAATTTTTTGTATTTTTAGTAGAGACGGGGTTTCACCATGTTGACCAGGATGGTCTCGATCTCTCGACCTCATGATCCACCCGCCTCGGCCTCCCAAAGTGCTGGGATTACAGGCGTGAGCCACCACGCCCGGCTATTTTTTTTTTTAAAAAGACGGGGTTTCACCATGTTGGTCAGGCTGGTCTTGAACTCCCGACTTCGGGTGATCCGCCCGCCTTGGCTTCCAAAGTGCTTGGATTAGAGGCGTGAACCACCACGCCTGGCCCAGAAATTTTTTTGTAAAGTTTCAGTTCTCTCCAAATGAAAATGGCCCAGTCCAAAATGGGCTTTTTTTTTTAGCCTTGAGCTGAGACCTTAGGCCACCCTAACTCAGCTGTGAATGAATGAAAGGGGTGGGGATGGAACACAGAGTCAGGATTCCTTAACACCTTTCCTTCAGATGAAATCCACGATGGGATGAACCTGGAGCTTTATTATCAATAGATGAGAATTCTCATCTTCCTGCTGCCCCACCCTCCTCTCCCGTCCTCATCCCCCACACTGGGATAGATGCTTGTTTGTAAAAACTCACCTTAATAAAGACTTAGATGTTGCTTTGTTGTTGTTTCTTTGCATGAGAGCTGTCTAGTGATGGGTAGATCGGTTGCTGTTTGGTCATCTCTGTATCATCAATGTGCATCTGCTAAAATAAGGGTTCCAAATCAACTGGATCCATGATAGCAGAGTAGATCAGCAGGCTGGGAGTCTGTGGGAGCCCAAAGAGAGCTCTGGGGTTTGCTGTGGGTGTGTGAAGGTCAACAGGCCCTAGGATTATAGTTACCCTAATAGATCAAAAAGCTTCCAGGTAATGACAATAAATATAATTGTTAGGAATACAGATTCTGAAATCACACAGACCATGTGTGGAATGTCAACTCTGCTACCAAACAGCTGACTGACCCTAGGCACGTCTGCTTTCATTGGCATATTGTGAGGAGGTGTAGATGAGCTGAAAGCATGTTTAAGCATCCACAGTTCCTGGCACCTTTTTTTTCTTTTGTTTTCTGACAGGGTCTTACTCTGTCACCCAGGATGGAATGCAGTGGCTCGATCATAGCTCACTGCAGCCCTGAACTGGACTCACACAATCCTCCTGAATCAGCCTCCCAAGTAGCTGGGAGCCTGCTAATTTTTTTTTTTTCTTTTGAGACGTCTTGGCTTACTGCAATTTCCGCCTCCCGGGTTCAAGCAATTCTCCTGCCCCAGCCTCCTGAGTAGCTGGGACTACAGGCGCACACCACCACACCCAGCTAATTTTTGTATTTTTAGTAGAGACGGGGTTTCACCATGGTGGCCAGGATGGTCTCCATTTCTTGACCTCATGATCTACCTGCTTCAGCCTCCCAAAATGCTGGGATTATAGGCATGAGCTACCATGCCTAGCCACACCTGCTAATTTTTAATTTTTTGGGGGGACAGTCTTGTTCTGTCACCCAGGCTGGAGTGCAGGTACGATCTCAGCTCACCACAACCTCTCCCTCCAGGGTTCAAGCGATTCTCTTGCCTCAGCCTCCCAAGTAGCTGGGAGCCATCACGCTCAGCTAATTTTATATTTTTAGCAGAGATGGGGTTTCTCCATGTTGGTCAGGCTGGTCTTGAACTCCCGACCTCAGGTGATCTGCCCACCTAAGCCTCCCAAATTATTGGGATTGCAGGTGTGAGCCACTGTGCCTGGCAGAGATGGGGTTTCATCATGTTGGCCAGGCTGGTCTCAAACTCCTGACCTCAAGTCATCCAACCAACTTGGCCTCCCAAAGTGCTGGGATTACAGGTGTGAGCCACCTCACTTGGCATTTTTAATTTTTTTTGTAGAGACAGGGTCTCCTTATGTTGCCCAGGATGGTCTTGAACTCCTGGCCTCAGATGATCCTCCAGCCTTCGCCTCCCAAAGTACTGAGATTATAGGCATGAGTCATCAAGACAAAAATAAGGTAATAGTAGACAGTGAGGCAGTATGGCACTGTAAATGTGGCTACATGAGCCCAGCCTCAAGAGTCAGACCATCTAGATTTGAATTTTGATTGATCCTTAGCAATGGGATTCAGGCCCTGACACCCTCACCTTCCTCCTCTAAAAAGGAGCACTACCATGGCACCTACATCTCAATGAGATCATGAATTAGAATAGCAGGATGCCTGGCACATAATGTTATTCACTGTGTTCCTTTTAAGTGTGGTAGATGAGACCAATTGTACCTCCTCTATTCCCCTGGCAACAGTTCTTTGTGTCAACCTTGCTCCTGTCCTGTTTTATTAATTTATTTATTATTTGTTTATTTAGTTTTTTAAATGGAGTCTCACTCTATCACTCAGGCTGGAATGCAGTGGTGCAGTCTCGGCTCACTGCAACCTCTGCCTCCCGGGTCCAAGTCATTCTGCCTCAAACTCCCAAGCAGCTGGGATTACAGGCAGCTGCCACTGCACCCAGCCAATTTTTGTGTTGTAGAGACCAGGTGCCTGCCACTGCACCCAGCTAATTTTTGTATTTTTTTAATTAGAGATGGGGTTTCACCATCTTGGCCAGGCTGCTCTTGAACTCCTGACCTCGTGATCCACCTTGGTCTTGGCCTCCCAAAGTGTCTGGATTAAAGGTGTGAGCCACTGCGCCTAGCCTGATACTGGTTTCTCAGTGTCTATACTTATTTTATATTTTATGGCAAGGTTTCTGAGCTTTGGCATTGTTGATACTTTGGGTTGGATTTTTTTTTTTTTTTTTTTTTTTTTTTTAGGCAGATTCTCACTCTGTCATCCAGGCTGGAGTGCAGTGGAAAGATCACTGCTAATTGCAGCCTCTTAACTCCTAGACTCAAGAGATTGTCCCACCTCAGCCTCCCAAGTAGTTGGGATTACAGGCACTGGCCACCACACCCACTGAATTTTTGTAGAGATAGGGTCTTGCCATGTTGCCAAGGCTGGTCTCAAACTCTGGGCTCAAGTGATCCTCCTGCCTTGGCCTCCTAAAGCCCTGGATTACAGGTGTAAGCCACCACTCCCAGCCCTTGCATTGGATAATTCTTTTTGTGGGGGCTGTGTCTTGAAGGATGTTAGCAGCATCCTTGGCATCTAATACTAGATGCCAGTAGCCAGTAGCATCTCCTGCTTGAAACTGAGTTTGTTGTAACAACCAAAAATATATCAAGATGTTGCCAGAAGTCCCTTGGGAAACAAAATTGCTACTGATTGAGAACTTCTTTCTATTATTTAGTTGCCAGTATTAGGGAGGGCTGGGTGAAGGGTACCTGAAAACCCTACTGCTTTTGCAACTCCCCCATGTCTAAAATTATCTTTTTAAAAAAGTATCTTTATTATTATGCTAATACAAGCTTGAAAAAAACTCAAAATGTTCTATTAAAACTTAATTTTTTTTTTGGTGGGGGGGATGGAGTTTCACTCTTGTTCCCTAGTGTCTATTGCAGCAGCACGATCTTGGCTCACTGCAACCTCCGTCTCCCGTGTTCAAGCAATTCTGCCTCAGCCTCCCAAGTAGCTGGGATTACAGGCATGTGCCACCACGCTCAGCTAATTTTGTATTTTAAGTAGAGACGAGGTTTCTCCATGTTGGTCAGGCTGGTCTCAAACTCCCGACCTCAGGTGATCCCCCTGCCTCAGCCTCCCAAAGTGCTGGGATTACAGGTGTGAGCCACTGCCCCCTGTCACATCCAGCTAATTAATTTTTTTTTTTTTTTTTTTTTTTTTTTTTTGGTAGAGACAAGGTCTTTCTCTGTTGCTGAGGCTGGTCGCAAACTTAGGCTCAAGTGAACCTCCTGCCTCAGCCTCTCAAAGTGTTGGGATTATAGAAGTGAGCCACCAAGTCTGGCTTGAGTGCTTTATGTGGATTAATTTAATCTTCACATTAAACAGAAGTATGTATTATTGCTTATCTCCCCTTTGCAGATTGGGAAACCAAAGTACAGAGTAACGTTAAGTAATCAGTTCAAGGTCACATAGCAAGTGGCAGTGCCAGCCTTTAAACCCAAGTCTGACTCCAGACTTCCCTTAGCCTTCTTCTGCATCCTTCGTCTCATTTGTTGTGGGCAGGTTTCCCTATGAGTTCACTGAACCTCATTCTGTTTAACGGTCACATAGGGGTCTATGGTAGGTGAACTGTAGTTGAATTCTTCACTGTCAGCGCCTTCAAATCCCGTATCTACCCACAGTTCCCCAACCCTGGGTCCCCAAATACCTCCTCTGTGTCCCACAAGCTCTGCAGACTCTTATTTTAAGTTGGCTAAAACTGAGCTCATATCCTCCCACCTGCACCTCCTCCGTGTTCTTATACGAATGTCAGTGTCTGCACCCACCGGTCACCCAGGATGGAGGAAGGAGCCAGACTGCGAGGGAATAAGGGAAGTAAACAAATTTCAAAGGACGTGGAAGGCGTTTGGGTCCAGAGCATAGGGAAAAGGTTAGCCCTGCAAAATATAAAAGGGGCTGGGTTAGCTTTGGACATCTGGGGGAAACAGGTGGGAAGAGGGAGGATGGAGGAGCCAAATTTAAGCTTCGGGCACTTAGGTGCTCATCTCCAAGACAACTGCATTGCTATGGCAACAGCAGAGGCAGCACCGCCCCGCCCAAGTACCTCCTCGGCCGCCGTTACCTCTGCATCAGCCAGACGCTGCCGAAAGGGAGGGCTGGGGGCTTGCGAGCTCCGGGAACAGCTCAGAAGGGCGGGAGTTGCTGCTGCATTAGCCAGTCAGTAAGTTATATCCCGCCTGAGTGGGCTCTGCGGCGAGACGCGCCAAGAAGGGGTCAGGAGTTTTTGGCGCTCGCCAAAGGGCGTTGAGAAGGGCGGGTCCGCTTCGCTTCGAACCACTCAGGAGCCGGGGAGAGCGAGTGGGCGGGGCCGGACTGAGGCTGACCGGGGGCGGGGCTCGGGGGGACAACGTGGGAGGGTCCGCCCCATCTCTCTTCTACCCAATAGAGGGCTGGAAAGCCAATCCGGACGGTTGAGGCATCCAATGAGTGTCGCCACCGGGCCCCGTTGCGGAGCGCGCCTAGCCAATCGGCGGCGGCGGCGGGCGGGCACGGACGACAGGCGGCGCGGCTGAGGCGGAGCAGGCGCTGCGGCAGGAGGGAAGATGGCGGACGAGGAGAAGCTGCCGCCCGGCTGGGAGAAGCGCATGAGCCGCAGCTCAGGTGCCGCGGGGGTCGGGGCTGGGACGGGACCGCGCGGGCCCGCGTAGGCAGGGCTCGAGCTCGCCCCTCAGGCGCGGCGGCAGCGCTGCCTCCCTCCCGTGGGGTCCTGGCTCCTCCGCGCCGCCCCGGGGGTAACGGCCCCGGCCCGCCCTGTTATGGGGGCTGCGAGCCTCAGAAGCCGCCGGGAAGCCACAGGAAGTTGAGGCAGGGGGTTGGGCGGGTGAGGGCCCTGGGAGGCCGGGGCGATGGCCTTGGTCCTGCTGGCCCGGCAGATACTTCTCGGCCTAATGCACCTGACGCCCCGGGGGGACGTCTCTGCACTTGCTGGGCCCGGGGACACCCCAGTACCCTGCATAGGGCGTGGGTTGTTGCCCAGCCTCGGGTCCATCAACCTATCGCTGCTAACACCCCTACCGCGTA